GGCAGCCCACTGCAGTTAAATAGTAAAATGCAAGGTTAACCTGAAAGAAATGCACTGTATCTTGAGCTCTTCCAGAACTTTCTGATACCAACTTGGGCTGTTTTTTTGTGCATGGGGAGAGCCCCCAGTTGCTACACTCACACTTACTTTTGTTACCTGACCTTTCTTTACCCAGCATCCATGACAGGAGTATTTTTCTTTCCGTCCTGCTGAAGGTTGGTATTGAATATGTTGGAGTAACTTCTAAATGACATTCAGATATCGCTTCCTTCTTTAACTCATTTTGTTGTCAGATTTCAACTTTTTTCTTTCTACTTTTTGCTTGCACTGGTGTTTGCCTTTTACTGTTTTTCAATTTCTTAATTCCTCAAGGTTTTTTTTTGTTTTTTTTAAATACACCTTTTTTCAGGAGAAAAAAAGTTATCTTGTACGTCAAGTGAATGTCTAATAGAGAGAAAAACAAAACAAAACACAAACTTCATTAGAACTTGTTTTTTAAAGTTAAAATGAGTTTTTAGTTCTCCAGGAAGGAAAGTGTGGAGTACAAGGAAAAATGAGTTGTCTACCTATTTCATGACTCCAGTCTAGGCCCAAATTGTCCTCTCCCCACCCTGAGCCTAGGAAAGATCGTCACGGGGACACTGAAAAGCAAGAATCTGGAGTCAGTAGGGAAATTCCATCCAAGGAGCACGATGGTAAAATCCTGGGACATAGAAGAGCCACAACTTTACCTGGATATCTTCATTCTGAACCATGCTGAATGAAAAAAGATGTGCCTTGTTTTCAAGAAAACTTCCAATTTAGCCTCCATCTATATGCTTGGTGTTGCTCCAATGATTGTTTGAGGCAGTACTTTTCTTCTCAGTTGAGAATTATCATCTACTTGTTAAGGCAGTCTGTTGCAAAGCTCGGTAATACCTGGGTAATTGGGAGCCAGTAGTTCAAAATTGAGTCTGTGGATGGCACAAATAATTAACACTACTAACTGAAAGGTTAATGGCTCAAACCCTTTCAGAGACAACTCACTGGTGAGCTGCTTCCTAAAGGTTGCATCCTTGAAAACCCTATGGTTTCCACTCTACACACCTAGAGTTGCCATAGTCAAAATCAACTTGAGGGCGACAGGTATAGGTAGCTCAGAGTTGTGAGGTGAATCAAAATAACTTGAGGTTCTATGATAGTTCCCAGGAGCTATAAAATTTCAGCCAGCAAACTGGAGATCAAGGAATGCTTCGTTCTAAAATCCCATGATTCATTCTGAGATTTACTGATGCCACATTCCTGACCTTCAGCAAGATAACATTCCACAAATCTCAGAGTTTGACTATCGCCACATACTCACTTAGGAAGTGCCTGCTTAACATATCTTCTCAGCCCTGGACAGGTCATCCAAAAAACATACTTGTCCCAAGCAATGGTTACCTTTAGATAATCCAGCCTGATTTTCTCTCTTCTCTTCAGACCTTGGCAAATATGACTTCATCTTTCTCCCTTGGAGCAGCTAGTGGATTTGAACCACAAACCTCATGGTTAGCAGCCCAATGTCTAACCCACAGTGTCACCAGCGTGCCTTTATTGTTGCTAAGTGTCACGGAATCAATTCCAACCCATAGTGATCCTGTATAGGGTTTCCAAGGAGCAGCTGGTGAGTTTGAACTGCTGACTTTGCGGTTCAAACCAACCTTGCAGCCCAGTGCATTATCCTGCAGCACCACGACAGAACTCCCCAAGGCTCTTTACAGGAGGTATATTTAAAGATGAGGCTTTCTGCTCCCATAAAGATTTACAGCCTCAGAAATAGGACCGTTCTAAGTTGAAATCAACTCAAGGAGAGATAATAAGGAATAGTTATTAAGTACTTACTATAGGTACACATAGTGGTTACAAATCGGGCTGCCAACCACAAGATCAGCAGTTCAAAACTACCAGCTGCTCCACGGGAGAAAGATGAGGCGATCTGCTCCGGTAAAGATTTACAGCCTCGGAAACCCTGTCTGGGTCGCTATGAGTCGGAAACCACTTGACGGCACTTAACAACAACAACAATAGGTACCTCAAGGGAGCTTTGGTAGCATAGTGGTTATGAATCGGGCTGCAAACCTCAAGGTCAGCAGTTCAAAACTACCAGCTGTTCCACAGGAGAAAGATGAGGCTTTCTGCTCCCGTAAAGATTTACAGCCTCGGAAACCCTGTACAGGGTCGCTATGAGTCAGAACCAACTCCACTGGCACACAGCCACCATAGGTATATCAGAAATTCACATATATTAACTCATTTAATTTTCATAACAATGTTTACTTTGGTACAATTAGCCCCATTTTACACATGAGAAAACCGGGATGATTTCTAAGACCATCTCTGGTAGGTAAGGGTTTGAACCTGGATTCAGAGCTTAACTACTATGGCACCGGTGTCTTAGTAGCTCTCCTTTCTACTTTGAAGATGCCAAGAAAGGAAGAAAGGTGGTCTCACAAATGAATCCCCAAGGATTTAAAAAGCAGATTGGAAGCAATGGCACAAATTTGGGTTTGAGAACTTATTCCCAGGTGGTTGTTATGGGGAATTCCCTGACCTCAACAAGGAGGTAAATTGGTTTCCATTCCTGTAGTTCAGCTATTTGGACTGACTGGTAACATATTAGAGAATTCCTAAGTGCCTTGAGCTACATTTATGACAGAGCGAAAATATTTGAGTACATCATCCCTCACAAACCATTATCTAGCCTGACAGCTTTAAGTAAGCCGGGAAGCCAATAACTAGAAAACCACGGGCCAAAGATGAAGTTTTGTTTTTCCCTCATCAGATGTTGTGGGGAATGAGGTCAAGAAAGCCAGTGAGGCAGTTGCTATCCAGTCAACTATGCCTCATGGCGATCCCAGGTGTGTCAGCGTAGAACTGTGATCTACAGGGTTTTAATGGCTGGTTTTTCAGAAGTAGATTACCAGGCTTTCTTCTGAGGTGCCTCTGTGTGGACCTTTTCATTAGCAGCCAGCCATGCACAAACTCCAAGGTAGAGGACAAAAATGAATCAAACCAGACCCCATTGCTGGCAAATCCATTCTGACTCTTGGCAGCTTCTGTACTGCAGAGAGGAACTAACTGCTCCATTTCAAGGCTTTCAAGGCTGTGATCAAGGGGTTTTCAAGGCTGTGATCTTTGGGACGCAAAATGCCAGATCTTCCTTTGAGGCATCTTTAAGTGCCTTGAACCTCCACCCTTTCAGTTAGTTGTTGTTGTTAAGTGCTGTCAAACTGGTTCCAGCTCACGACAATCCTAAGTAGGGTTTCAAAGGAGCAGCTTATCCTACAGTGCCACACTAGGACTTCACAGTTAGTTGTTGTTGTTGAGTTGATGCCAACTCATAGGCTTTCCAAGCAGCAGCTGGTGGGTTTGAGCCATCAATTTCTAGGTTAGCAGTCCAGTGCTTATCCTACAGTGCCACAGTGTAGGATAAACATTTATACCACCCAGGGACTATGAGGTAAAGAAAAAGGGACCAAACTGTACTCTAACTCCCAAGCTTTGTAAATTCAGAACAAGATTGCTAAAGTCCTGTAATGCACTTCTCCATGAGGATTTCATAAATGAAGCCATGTGCTTCTGAAAAGTCTCTGAGCAGGGAAGCTCTTCCCTTCCTTCCTGACAGAGCATGTTGAGAACTGTCTGGTGGCAGGGCTCCAGCTGCGGCAGCTGTCCCCAAGTCCTCACAATGGTGTAGGGAGAGCCTCAGCTAACAAAGCCCACACTAGGCAGACGGTGTCCCGCCCTGTCTGAGCACACCTGTCAGTTGAAAGGTTCTCACGCACAAGAGGTCATTGGAAAAGGGGAATATTCTCAGCACTGTGCATATAGGGAACAAAACCTATACTTGTTGTTAAATGCTGTCATCGGGTATGACTCATAGCATCTTTGTATAGGATTTCAGAGGAGTGGCTGGTGAGTTTGAACCACCGACCCTGAAGTCCAAACCAACCTTGTGGTACAGTGCTTATCCTACAGCACCACACCAGGACTCCTAAAAACCTATACTAGTATTAGCAACAACATTGGTCTATGAAAGGTAAAAGCTGGGATGGTGTTCCCTAGGCAACAGGCAAAAAATGTTTACTCCTTAGAAAATCATTCAACTTGCACGGCTCTTTCCTGACAGTTCCAGTGGCTGAGCTCTGGGAAATTGATGGAGGATGTGGATGGGATATGGTGAGTGCCAAGAGATCCTCCTCCAAGATAGGATTATGTTCTTTGTTATTGTTGTCATGTTTGGGTTCAAATGAGAAAACCAAGCCAGTAGACCATGACTGGACTCCTGGTTTGGCACTATAGGATCAGCACTGGACTGTGAACCCAAGGTTGGCGATTCAAACCCACCAGCTGCTCCTTGGAAACCCTATGAAGTGTTGCTATGAGTTGGAACCTACTCAACAGTACTTAACAACAATAACAACAGCAGACCATGATTGTTGATTACATCAATTCATAACTATACTGGTTAAGTGCCATCCAATCAGTTCCAACTCATAGTGATCCTACAAGACTGCAAATCTTTGGGGAAGCAGAACGCTTCATCTTTCTCTCACGGAGCAGTTGGTGGGCTCCAACCACTGATTTTGTGGTTCACAGTCCAGTGCTTATCTTGCAGAGCCACTGTGCTCCCCTGGCTATACTGGCAAACACTTGAGATTCATCCTTTAAGTAAAAGAAGATGGGGAAGCTATTTGTCTCTTCTCTTGGTAACATCCGGTAGGTAACTCTTTTACTCCCAAGAAATATGCATGGTGATGTGCTTTTTCCAAGATGTTTTATATTTTAACGCAAGGGTCTCTGTTACATAGCTCAGTGGAGTGAAAACTATGGTTAGGCTGTGTGTGTGGATGTGCACATGGGCACATGAGCACACACGCTCTTTTCCCTAATTATTGCAACATAACTTCCTCTTTACCATACTAAAGCTCAACAGTGAGGCATAATGTGTAAACTTCTTGTATGTTTGCTCTTTTCAGTTCTAGGGAAAATCCGAACCGCAGTGGGCAGTGCCCAGCTTCTCATGGCCCAGAAATTCTACCAGTTCAGAGAACTGTGTGAAGAAAACCTGGTATGTAACAATCCCCATCAGTAACCTTTCTCTGCTAGCACCATGTCAAGAACGGCTAGAACCACCGAGCCTGGCCCAGTTCAAGTAAAAGTGACCTGGGACTCTGTCAAAGCGCACTGAGCTCTCTCACCTGGAACAGAGAGTTTTCTGATGAATCTTACTTATTGCTTTTCTTAAAAATATTTATTTCATACTTACATAATCTTAGTGAAAAAAAAAAAAACCACAACTCAAGTTAAACTCAATTTCCTACTTTTTCCTCTTGTTTTTTTTTTTTTTCCTTTTATTGTGGAAATATATATACAATAAAACATTTGCCATTTCAACTATTTTTACATGTACAATACAGTCACACGAACTCAAATGGCACAACATTACCACTATGCATTTCCAAAGCTTTTTCTCTCTTTTCTTTTCCTTTTCTCCCCCGTCCCTTTTTTTATTTTATAGGAAAGTTCCCAATCCTACTTTTTTGTAACTAAAATCTTTCCTTTTCTCTTTTTTCCACATGCCATCTCTGATTTTATTGTTCTTACCAAAAGATGGAATGGCCTGATATTTCAAAAATAATATTGACAGAAATGATATACAATAGGAT